TGTCCAACGTTGTCATGCAAGCTACGAAGGGCTGCTGATCTACATCTGGAAGGTAAGACCAGTTGTTCCTGATCAGTGTCCTTTTGACAGGTAATTCTGTATAAAACTCCATGCTTGATTCTAAAATGATGGTAGTTCTTTAGCAGTGAAGTCATTTCCTTGTCTCCAATGTATTGAGTCCTGTCGGGTTTCTGTCCAGCTTCGAGACTATCCATAATTGTAGCTATAGCTGGGTCTCTATGTTGAGCACTGCTCCATTCCTTGGCATTGTTGTGACACTTGACATCAAATACTCCTGAGCCATCATCACCTATTGCATCAGCATCCAAGCACATTGTTTCAACCAAGCTGGAGACCTGAACTTTGTTACAGATTGCACTCACTAGATCCGTGGTTAGTTCTTCTGTGTCAGTGTTGTCACTCTTAGGTAATCTAGACAATGCATCTGCATCTGAGTTACCTTTTCCTGGTCTGTAGGTGATGGTGAAGTTATAATTTGATAAGGCTGCCAACCATCTGTGTCCTGTTGCATCCAGGTGAGCTGTTGTCAAAACGTAGGTGAGTGGATTATTATCTGTGAGTACGACGAAACTGTTTCCATAGAGATAATCATGAAATTTTTCAGAGATGGCCCATTTCAAGCATAAGAATTCCAACTTGTGTGCTGAATAATTCCTTTCTGATCTACTCAACCCTCTACTGGCATACGCTATCACCCGTTGTTTTCCTCCGTCTTCTTGGTACAAAACAGCTCCAAGGCCTTGTGTACTTGCGTCCGTATGCAGTTCAAATGGTTTGGAGAAATCAGCATATCCCAATACTGGTGGGGTAGAAAGACAAGTCTTCAACTGGTTGAAAGCTTCTTCTTGTGCTGATCCCCAATACCATTCCTGTGGAATATTCGATTTGGTAGTTCTGTGCTTCTTTGAAGATGTCTTGGGCAGAAGGTCTGATAGTGGTCTGGCAATCTTGGAGAAATCTTTGACGAATTTCCGATAATAACCAGCGAATCCAAGAAAGCGTCTTATTTCCTCTGGAGTGGTGGGTGTAGGCCACTGTCTGATCTTTTCAACCTTGTCTGGGTCAGCTTCTATTCCATCCTCTGATACAATATATCCGACGTAACGTACCTTCGTCTTGAAAATTTGCATTTTTTCGGGGCAAGCTTAAGTCCACATTCCTGAAGACGTCTGAAGACAAGTTCAAGCCGTTCTACATGCTCCAGATAGTTCTTAGAAAAGATTATGAGATCGTCCAAATATATCAAGCAAATCTTCAAGTGAAGTCCCTCCAAGCATTTTTCCATGAGTCTTTGGTATGTGGCTGGAGCGTTAGATAATCCAAAAGGCATTCTGTTATATTCATAAAACCCTAAGGGGCCCACTGTAAAAGCTGTTCTCTGTTTATGTTCTTCTGCCATCTCAACCTGATGATATCCGCTTTTCATGTCAAGAACAGAGAAGTACTTCATCCCCCCCAGACAATCAAGAAGTTCTTCAATTCGCGGAAGGGCATAACTGTCCTTAATGGTGCGACGGTTCAGCACGCGAAAATCTATACATAGTCTCAATCGTCCATCCTTGCGCTTAGCCAAAACAACATTAGAGGCCCACGGACTATGTGAAGGTCTGATCACGCCAGCAGCCAGAAGATCTTGAAGATGACTCTTTACTTCACTGTACATGCCGGGTGGAATTCGACGGTGTCTCTGTTTAAATGGAATGTCATCTTGTAATTCTATCCTGTGTTCAACCATAGTTGAGTGTCCTAAATCATCATCCCGCTTTGAGAAAATATCTGTAAACTTCATGATAAGTTCAAGTCCCTGTGCTATCTCCTCTCTTGTTAATCCATCATGCTCAACTTCCACTTGCTCCAGTAAATTGTCAGAGTCCACAGGTTGTCCAGGTGATAACCGTTCTATAGTAACAGGTTGCAGTTCACAGATGACAGCTTTGGGATGTATAACAGCTGTCTGTGTAGTGATATTTGACACAAGTATCTCTATTTCCTCTGGATGATGGTAATCATAAGTTACAAGCGTTGGTGCAATATCCAGATCAGTTGATACAGATGAAGCTACGGTAGCCTAGACTCAACTGGCCTTTGATGCTGACTGTGTGGTTAGCCGGTATGGAAATACTTTTGTATTCTGCACATTTGGCAAGTCCTAACTTTCCTCCATTCTTAGTCAACTCCCTGTCCTGGATGACCAAATTTCTAAATGTCAAATACCATGGTGTATACAAGTCACCCTTTTGAAGAAATCTGGATCCATTAAAGCTCTTGCATTCTTCCAACAGATATAAAAGGACATTAGTTCCCAATAAGACAGGTACCCTACAGTTGTATCTAGTATCCGGGACAACTAAGAGTAAACATGACGTTTCTGTATCTTTGTCTATGCCACAACCAATAGATTTGATATTAACTTCCACGAATCCTTTATATGGCAATGACGATCCTCCGGCGTGTTCAATATCCAACATGCAGTCTAAGGCTTGTATAGGTATATGACTGAGATGGCTTTTATAGAATGATTCCGATACAAAGGACACAGTTGCTCCGGTATCCAATAACGCTCTCACAGAAATATTTTCAACCTGTATTTCAACTTCATTTGAATGTCCAACTAATCTGTCCATTAACGGCTTTCCTCGGGGTTGTGATCCTAGGCCTGATAGTCCCCCTTGCCCATAGGCCTGTTCCAGTTTAAAGGTTTGCGGCGATGATCCAACCTAACTCGACAGCCATAAGCAAGGTGACCAGGGTACCCACATCTCCAACAGACTGGTTCCTGAGACTGAGCAGAAGCCTGGTCTGTGTATGCTGTAGATGGTGAATGGGAAGTAGCCTGTTGTGGTGCCATAGGAGGAGCAGATGATACTCTACTTGGACCGGTATCTGACCAACCTTCATTTCCATGTTTATATTGACCTCTGCCTCTGTTTCTATCATATCTTTCTCTGACGGATGTAGATGCAGGTGCCTGTTGGTTATGATGGACAAATGAGGAAGGCTGTAGCTGCTGTATCTGAGCAGTCATGTGCTTCTGTTGTTCCTTCATATCAGCAAACTCCGAGTACATCTCCTTAAACATAGACTTAATCTCAGAAAGATCCTGACTAGATGAGTCTGTGACTGAGGCTTTAGCTGTATGAGCTGTGGCTTGTTTGACCTTTACCTTGGGTGCGTCAGCTGTGTTTCGTTGTAGATCAAACTCCATTTCCCTGAGGCATAAACGAAGATCATCAAAGTTTTTGATTGACTCATACTTGTATCCAGCCAAACTTTTAAGAGCCGGATTAAGTCCATCCCATAATCTTGTCCTCAACATTTCATCCTGTTCTACTGGTGGTATTGACTTTTGCTCTGCTAACTGATAGAGTAACCTTTCCAAGCGACAACTCCATGCTGAGACATCCTCGTTTTCTCCTTGACCAGTACTGTAAAACTTGGACATAAGTACAGAACTCCTTCTAAGTGTCCCAAAAGCACTCTTAAGCTTCGATAATATGTCTGATGGCCTTAGGTCCCAGTTTCATGACAGCTAGAGCTGCTTCTCCTTTAAGGGATCTTCTGATGGCTTGTAGGATTGTACCTTTGGAATAGGTCTGTGTGTCCAATAAGCAATCCACTTCATAGTGCCACAAGTCATACTCTGCGTCCTTACCAGGCTCTCCACTGAAGAAAGGTAATTTAGGGAAGTTATGATAGGTCACTGCAGACGCTTTGGTTTCAGATTCTGGGTTTACTCCCTCGGGTTCCTTCTTAATGACAGGTGCTATGTCCTGCTGTGCTAATCCTTGAATCCAATACTTGAAATCCTCAGGTGAGTCAGATTTAGGTTTGAATCCTGCCTTTCGAAAGGCCTCCACCATGTTATCGAGTTCCTCCTTGTTGAACTCCATCGTGAATGAATGCGCTGTATTCACTGAACGTGAAATGCAAACACTCTTACGAGAAACAACTGTTGTGTTTGAGGTACAAGGTATATGGCATACCAATGCGTAGTAGCAAGAAAGATGAATAACACACTACATGTACAATGTAGTGGAGAAGTAAAAGGTAAATACATAGGTAAGTACTATATGAAAGGTAATGTGTACCTGTTGTGAAGAGCTTATAGTACTTAATAAATAATATGAGTATCAGAAGCGAAGTGTAGACTTGCAGTGATACAAAGAAGGAAAACGGTAAACGTTAAGTTCGACACGGATAAGAGAGAAGCAGAACCGTAGAGTACGACGCGAAGCAGCAGATTCAAGCACAGCGCGGGCAAACGAATAACCTGTTCAGTACCAAATGAATAAATAGCAAAGACAATCTATCAACACATCATTTAAGAAAAAAACCCAAACTACAAATGCCCAATGAACTATGACATGTATACTACAAAGGAGATATTGTTAGTATCATGCTGTGTTAGTGCAGTGACATGTAAAATCTACCAATTACACTTAATTTTGTGTGGTAAGACTTGAAGTGTTTATGCCTATTTAGTTCATATTTAAAGAAAGTAGTTAAAGTCAACTCAACCACACATCAATCAATCACAATCTATGTACCTGAAACCGAGTGTTACCCAAGCTTAAGAAACAACACTGGGTTAACTGAGATAAATACACTCAGTTACATATTCTGTAGTAGTAGTACCGGTACTAATGAAATACTAATGTCATGGTAAAACCATACATATACCAGAGTCTGTTATGAATTGTAGTGATAGAAAAATTCAAACAATGCTTCCAATGTTTGAAGAAAATATGCAAATACTTTGACAAGCTGTCAGATATATGTATTAATACAATGAAATGTCACAATGCAAGTTAGGTATACCACATTTCAACACAAGAAATAACAACAAAGTGTCATCATAAAGCCTTTATGGCTATACTTCACTCAGATGGCATATTGATATTCTTATTGATGAAGGAGCTCACGAATTCTTCAGCGCTCATGTATAAATATTGTCAATGCAAAAAAGGTTCAAGCATGTCAATGGCATGAACACAGAAAGTCACAATTCACAGGAAGACTGTCATCATAGTTACGCACACACGAATATAGTCGTTATCAATGTTCTCACCCCAGATGTGGCAGAACTCAGAAATGGAACATCAGATCCATCTCTCATGCACAAGCAGTTGAATACTGTCTTCGGCTACTGGCTCTGGCGTTGCTCAGATATTCCTCACTGGGGGCTCCATTGTTGCAGCCATGAAATAGTGGTGCTCTGTAATAACCACAGGCTACGGGTTGTGAGGTCTATATCTTTATTCCGTAGAGGAAGAAGTAGTAGGAGTAGACACTCTGTAACAATCATAATTATACAATGTATATGTATATGCTAAAACCACATCCGATGAACATATGCCTTCATATATATATAGGTATAAACATCTCATAAATGCATGTCTTCATATATACACATCGGAATAACAAAGACTTAAGTAAACAATGGACCTGTCTTACATAATCTCTCGCAGGTTATGAAAAATGGCATATACTATTGTTATTATTACAAGTGACATTTCATGTGGCATATCAAGAAACAGACTATAAAAACAGACAATGAAACCTACCCTGTGGGTGACACGGGAGTGTGCTCAAGCACCCAGCAGCCGGGCAGCCAACACGTGCAATAATCCTACATAAAATAGGATACACTGATTAGAGGTATTGTCCATGAGACAACACAGAAAATAACACCATTATACCAACATATATACATACTTGAAACTACCACTATGGAGTTACAAACAAGATACAGAATTGATGAAATAGATCAATCTTACATCATATACAGCATTTGTAAAACAAGAAGTACAAGCCAACATAAACATATAGCAAAACCACCCATACGCACATTCATACAGGTAAAATAGCATACTGTGTAAATATCTACATTTGATTTATCTTGAACATATTTGTGCCTATGTTATACAATTATTTATAGCAGGGTTTAATTAGCTGTGTATATATTACAAACAGTATAATTACTAACCTTAGATCAAAACTCAATCTTTAGAACAGTCCTCATGTAGAGACAGTGTGGTGCAAAACTGATTAGTAACATGGCGGTGAGAAGTATATTTGAACTTACACCAATCAACTGAGAAGCTGAGCCTGGGCTATTGTTAAAACAACTAAAGACAATGACATAAAAGTAGATCGACCCAGATACCCTTAAATACACAATGAACCAGCCCTGTAACACAGAACTGAACAGTTAAGGCCAAGACAAGATGCGACTGGATTGACAACATATAATATATCTATACTGTATAGAGAAGTCGTCTGTCGGATCACCTGAAATAAGAATAAAATGAAAATGATTAATTATAAATGTATGTACACAATATACAATCCCTGGGATTTATCCCTGTTACATGTATTTGAATGTGTAAAAAAACCTGGACACATGTTTCAGAGTTTCAGGTGATAATGGCTTACCTGCGTTATTCACACATCCAATTGCATGTAACAATTCTTTGGATAGAAATACGTCAATGTTGGAGAAGAGCTTCACACCAATGGTCAAATTTTGTTTGGTTACACAAAATTATATAATTTGTAAATACATTTTTTGGAGAAGTATATTTTCGAATTCTTTAAAGTGATAGTTTACACCATTGTAAATGAATAAAATATATTCCAGGTATTCTCGGATGGATTGACCTTCAACAATTTGCTGATATACAAATCAATAACATCCCACAACGCGCAAAATTCACTTAAATATACTGAACTTAGGAGTGCTGATCGTTGGCCTGTCTGTCCTGTGTGACCGATGATTGATGAGGGAACTCTGCATTATTGTACCATTGACGTACATATATATATTGTTGACTATCGTGCGAAATCACCTCTCATTTCCAATATACACTAAACGTCAGAAGAAACGTTACCCTCCTTCCTTAATGACGGAGGTACCTATCTTCAACTGGCGTTTCGAAGCGTGGACGTCCACTTCTTGGTCTGTCTACGGTGACCCCAGTCTGTCTGAATCCCTGAATAAATCTTATAACCGTGATACGGTGGCATCTGACTGACTGACTGACTGAGTTTAGTTTTACGCCGCTTTTAGCAATATTCCAGCAATATCACGGCGGGGGACACCAGAAATGGGCTTAACACATTGTGCCCATGTGGGGAATCGAACCCGGGCCTTCGGCGTGACGAGCGAACGCTTTAACCACCAGGCTACCCCACCGCCCCCGGTGGCATCTGAGGGCGTTGGTAACAGCATTGTATGTCGACCCCTCCTACACCATCCCAATGGCTCTTTATCTCTCTTCAGCTGTTAATCGTGGCATATATGTCGTTCTTGTGTATCATATCATCTTTTTTCTAGGCTGTCTTCATACCCTATAGAATCATTCTACATGTGAAATGGATGCAATTCCTGCTTGAATATTGCTGCGTTTTGGCGATTGATATTGCTATGTGTAAACAGAAAATGGAAAAATGTTTCTTTGCAAGCAAAAATGTTAAGAAAGATCATGTTAGATGTTTCTAAACATTTCTTTCACAATATCAAAGACACGTTTAACTTGTTTTCCATAATGCAAATCAGCAGAAAATGTTTTAAAAGATTGAAATCATAGCAATGATTATTTTACAATTTTACACACTCTACAACAGTTGTTTCTTATTATTTCAATCTAAATCACTGTTGTTTGCTTATTTCCGCATGGACGAAAATAGGACAATTTTACTCTTCTGTAAAAGATGCATTTCACCTAAACATGAATGTATTTGAGAATTTGTTTTCGTGATTTGCATAATTATTAAGCGTTCTTGAAACTAATACCTTCTAACATGTCTTTGATAGTTTTTAAGCAACGTTTCTTTTGGCTTGTAATGTACACTGCAACAAAAAGGCATACATCGGACAGTATTACCCGAGGGAGAAGTTTACTTCGTACTTATCTTATGGACATGTTAAATGTACAAAATATCATGTATATTTATTGTATTTTGAAGATCGATAAGCTCGCTACCGACTATATTACAAGTAAACAAAATGGCGTCTGCCTCTCGACTGGATTTTAAAATTTATACTGACAAGCTTGTGTGTGCAAACGTTGCAATGTATAAAATAGTTTAAACAAAGCAGTGAAAGTCGGTACAATAAATGTGTACATAGAGGACTAAAAACACAGCTAACCGAACGGTTTTCGAACACCGTGCACTGCATGCATGCACTGCATATTACTACGTCACACGAGATATATAAACGAAATCTATGACAGCAATACCTTCACTCCGGATACAGTGCCAAACTGCCGTGTATATATGATGTAAATCCTCCCTCCGTCTTGATCAACAATCAGTCATGTCTAACAATGTGTGAAGCGTGTCCCCTCACCGTGATATTGCTGGAAGCGGCTCAAAACCCACCTGACTCGAATTCAGAAGTTATCTTTCCTTCCCAATTGTTCGTTTAGCTTACTTATTATTGGTGTAGCTTCCTGATTGTAACTGTTGAATCCTCATCATCACCCATTCACCGCTTCGGCTGTCTCTGAACCTTCCCGATTATGACCTTCCTCAATGTCCTTGTACCCTCCTGATTGTTCGAGTACCGCCCCGACTAGATGTGTACCCTCTTAAATTGTTCGAGTACCGCCCCGACTAATTTTGTACCCCTCCCAACTGTTTGAGTACCGTCCCGACTAGATGTGTACCCCCTTACATTGTTTGAGTACCGTCCCGACTAGTTTTGTACCCATTCCAACTGTTCGAGTACCGTGCCGCTAGTTTTGTACCCCTCCCAACTGTTCGAGTACCCTCCCGACTAGATGTGTACCCCTCTTAAATTGTTGGAGTACCGTCCCGACTAGTTTTGTACCCTCCCAACTGTTCGAGTACCGTCCCGACTAGTTTTGTACCCTCCCAACTGTTCGAGTACCGTCCCGACTAGTTTTGTACCCCTCCCAACTGTTCGAGTACCGTCCCGACTTGTTTTGTACCTTCCGTATTGTTCGTGTACCGTCCTGATTGTTTCTATACCTTCCCAACCGTCCTGGCTGGCCTTGAACCTTCCGTATTGTTCGTGTACCGTCTTTATCTGTTTTCTACCTTCCAATTGTTCGTGTACCGTCCTGATTGTTTCTATACCTTCCCAACCGTCCTGGCTGGTCTTGAACCTTCCGTATTGTTCGAGTACCGTCTTTATCTGTTTTGTACCTTCCATAGTGTTCGCGTAGAGTCCTTGTTGGTTTTGAACCGTCCATATTGTTCGAGTATCATTCTGTGAGCAATACCTGGAGAAGGAATATGAGCGTTGTATCCAGTTAATGTCTTTGTAGGTTTGACCGAGTATGTGTGGTTGGGGGCGTCGGATGTTGAGACAGAAGACACGTGGGTGTGGCTGGATGGACGACAACTCGACTTCACTGCCTGGGCAACTTATATCCCACAGCCGAACAACTACAGGAATCAGGACTGTCTTGCCGTCATTTACAACGATGCTATTCAGTATGCGGACTGGTTTGATAACGACTGTTCTCAGAAACAATATTTCCTGTGCGAATTCATACGGAAGCTACAGAATCAGGACTAACTTAGCGTCATCAGCAACGATGGACTCTGGCATATTGATTGGTTTGTTAACGTCTGGTTTCAGAAAAAACTATTTCTTCGAATTGATACCAAACTGAATTGATAACCATAACTGTTATGGTTTTCGCACTGGATGATCAAATACAATAATTTTAAACATATAGTTTCTATAAGTAAACTATCAAGTGGTTGTATATGTGAATACCACTGTACTGTGAGCAATATGGCCAGATACATGTTATGTAATTGGTAAATTATTCCAATTCTGTTAGTTCGACAAGGTTTGCAACAATGGCGTCTCCCTTTCAACGTTTATTTCCTTCTTCCGAATGTATTGTGTCATGTGGCAGTGTTATAGTGTAACAAAGCTTCAAGTGTAATACATTGTACATGTGAGGGGCAGTGGTGTGCTATGTTTAGACTTGTGCTAGACTATATAGAGTTCTGGAAGGTCCTACAAACTACTACCACTATATGGACTATTCTGGCCCGGAGATTTGGATTTAGTTTGGTATGTTAGTGGAGCCTCGTCTCACATGACATCTCAAGTGACCAGCAGACTCGCATTGTGTGTGATGACCATTATACCCTGCCAGTCCTAGCTGGATTTCTGTTGCTGAGGAGTGGACATTACCACCGCTGTCTTTATTTCTATAATCAATGCCCTTGTATAACATTGGCTTTGAATGTGTACTGCCACATTGTTTTGTAATTCCGAAGAGATACCTTGGCATTAATTTGTTTTTGTTTTAACGTTTCAGTTTCAACATGGGAATTAACTCGTAACATCTGCAAAACATAATGTGCCGTTGAAGTTTGACAACTTAAGTACAAAGCAGTGAATTAATGTCAATTTCCGGAGATGTATGTAGTCAATTTCAGCGAAAGAATAACTCGTATTTCTCGCAAAGAGCATTTTTATTTCCAAAGTGAATATGTTGAAATTACTTGCTCGTAATCGTATTTCTCTCTCCCACCCCATCCGGAATAAACCAAAACCAAACCAAGCAAATACAAGCCACGAACATATATATTTTGAAACGTTACTTGATAGTTTCTTACTATTCAATAACATTGTTGACGTTTGCCCAACACAACATAGATATCGTACCCAAATGCAACGTTGACCACGCCTCATAATCCTCGCCCAACGTTAAAGATTCAGTCGATGTTGACTGGTTCATGACATGCCCCGAAATGGTCGATAGAACCCGAGAGAGACAGTCGTCTCATCACTGTGTTCCTGATGTGGTAACCCAACACTGTTGATGCAGATATCGATGTATCTTTAACAGGTATACCACTAACAATCTCAATGGACTTTCTACTATTGGGGCGTAACATGAACGTGCAATTCAACAAAATCATTATTTTCATGATATTTTTTACTTACCGCATTGAAAAGGATGTTTTTCGTGTTTTGCCAACATGTTGACAATATTTGTGAAGTCGCAATCACTTTTAAAATATCTTCTTTGTTGATTTCGGAAAACACCACATGTGCACGCTCTTCTGTACGTCAGTTTTCCTCGTAGTAGTCACACACTGTTTCTGGCTTTGCTGTTAATCTTGTTAAAGTAATAATATTGCGTAAACATTTTTATTATGTCAACGGTGATCTTTGATCTTGACATTGTGCATAATTACAATATCAAATAAACAATCTTGCATCCTATTTTTAGCATGCTGTTCATTTGAAATCATTGCTGCTGTCACCCCAGCGGTATTAGTATACTTCACGGGTGGTTAGGTTTTGGGATATTCAAACACAGAAGTCCATCAGTTGGTCCACAACACTTTATTCGAGGTCTAAATATGCAATTACATGATAGCGCAGCAACGGCCAGGCAGTATCACAGAGGCGATCGTAATACCACCTGCCTAGCTGCTGTCACAGGGTAGAGTCCCCTTACAACAAGAATGCAATGTATATATACTACTGACTGTCAGGCAGCCCTGTGTCGTATTACGATACATGTATGGTCAGCCTTCAGTATCCAGCACCTCATCCACAATGTTAAACTTCCGTTGCCGAGTTATTTTCTAACGGCGACCGGTGGTCCACACTTCCATCGGTAACGGATCTGTGGCACATCTTCAGGCAACTCAACAGTGATCCTACATGCATCTGCAAGACCGCCAGGGAATCAGACGCTTTTTTCAGTGCGCGGGTTTGGTATGGTCACCGGAATATAACAGGAACGTTGTGTGCCGGGAATCGATCAATACACGGACTGTCCTCGTTCGTAGACCGTACAATTAAACTTAGTCGGAAGGTGACCAACCATAGTCTGGGTAAGCATCGAGCAAGCCCATTGGATTGGTTCTGTGTACATTCAGTAGAGTGAATAGTGTTACACTGAGATTGGAAGTTGAACTTGCCAGGATAATACAGTAGGGCCTACACCAGCCTGTTACAGAATGTTCCAGAAGAGATTCAAACCAGCACCAGGGCATGCACTTGAGTGAAGATCACTTTTCACCCTGGATACTCAGCCTTGGTCTATTGTGGAAGCTTGACCACTGTTGTAGGTGAATATAGCTCATCACTGTCTTTATAGCATCTGTGTTAAATTGCTGTACTTGCATTTGGGCTGCCATTGCAATTGTACTGCCACTCTTGTTTAACTGTTGTAGTAATTACTTTGAAGCCATTTATGATGATTTGAAAACTTGGTTTATTTCAGAATACAAGAATAATTGAACCATTAGTTGGTTTCATACCGAATTGTCTCACCGAAAGCGTATTGGTTTACTTATTGCTGTCATTTGAACATCGACACGTAACAGTATATATGTAAAGGTTTTGGCTCAGCGTACTTCTGACATTCTAGAAATATCCAAGCACTAGCACAATGACGTGTGGAGTACCCGAGTCAAGTGTAGATGAAGTGGCTTCAGTAGGGGATTCCGGGTTGACAGTTGACAGGGATTTGCTGAGCGCTTCCGTCACTCTCTTCTGTCAGAAGGGGAAGATAAACGCTCTGCCATATTTGGCAGATAAGATTTGAGCGTCCTTGGTTCGTGGACTAGGCCATGGGATCCGTCTTTATGTTGTAGAATAGGATATCTAAAACTTTGGGACTGTTTCAGTCATTCCATGATGCAGCAGCAATATCACGACTAACCTGCATATACCTTAATTTTATTATTGCGAAGTACACATAATCAATCCAAATCAACCAAACTAATCATTTATATAGCGCCTGTTTCCAGTCAGTGAAATTCTGCTTGAAGGCGCTTAGAGGAGCAGCTCTGCTTGAATTATACACACCCTCTAATCGCAGAACATGAAGTATACACTTATAAATCTACAACTCTTGAAATATACACCTCTTGTAATGTCCGGTTTAAACAACACACACCTACAATAAGAATTTACCTGCTGTACACATGGCAATGAATGTACCTTACAGTTTACGCATCTTTTCACATCTATACCTCATTTAAATCACATATGCAGATGTTCGATTTGATAATGACACTTCGACACTATGTATAACAATGTACCAGTCCCATAGCTCAACCCTAAACTATCTCCTTTAACCCGTGAAGATCCAGGTTAGAATTGATCTTCAGTAACCCATGCTTGTCCTAAGAGGCGACTACCGGGATCGGGTGGTAAGGCTCGCAGACTTGGTTGGACATGTCATCGTATCCCAATTGTGTAGATCAATGCTCTGCTCTGCAGTTGCCCACTGGATTGTCTGGTTCAGAATCGAGTATTTACATACCGCCGCCATATAGCTGGAATATTACTGAGTGCGGAGTAAAAGTAAACTCTCTCACGATCTCCTTCAAACATGTGGACACATTCAATCCTATCACCAACAATATCTCATTAAAAAGTTGGGTACTAAGTAGCAGGGAGAATATATCTGAGATATACGATACAACAACACGATGGGGTCATTTCAGAGCACATGGCGGTTACTCAACAAAACAATAACGTATATAGCGTTAACCACCTCATTGATGGTGAATTACCATCTCCTTTGTAATAACCGCTTTAATGTTTGGTAAAACAACTTGGTCTGTATATATATAAAAAGCTTCCAGAACATTCTCCAACACCATTTGTCACACAAGAATATTCATCAATACACCTAGATTCCAGACGGCTCTTGTCTCCCAGAATAGTAACCCGCACCCAGCTGCCATCCTTCTTTACAGAAACGATATAGTATAAATGCAACACTGTTCTACAATGTCAAGAAGCACTGCAAGTAATATCTAACAACTATTTACCCTTAATACAAGCTAGTGCAAATTTAATTAAATCGACTGTATGTCAGCGCAAAAATCGATGGCAGTGTAAACAAAATGGCAATTTAAAATATAAGAGCAGTGATAAAACCAATATGGTCAAATCTAATTTGGAAATAAATTAAAAACCTTCCAGAAATGTCCATACTATGCGGGATTGTTCTTTGCTGTTCTGGAAAATTAGAGCACGCTTGACCCCAAAACCATCTAAATATTGCTACTTCTCTACCCAAGTGACTGCTTACATCAGATGGTGATTCGCTCCTAACACCTAGGTATTGTTAATAAACGTTGTTATGAACTCAATTGTAACTGAATCAGTATAGTACGATTACGAATGTGGTATTTTTACCCACAGTTCGAGACCGGTTCTACAGGATCTCTCGTGGGAATGTAATTGTACTTGGGTTTCATTATGCAAATGGGAGTCTGAAGGTTTGAATCAATACTTTACAAACGCATCTATCATTTTCAGTGGTCCTCAGATACTTCAATGAAAAATGAGAGCGAAAACAGAAAAAGAACAAAGTCAATCAAGGATCAGGAACACACAGTGCTGACATGTTAAACATACGTTTTTCACAACACGTATGGGGAGATGCCATTCCTCTATGTATGATGAGCAGACCCACGGTGACGATATAAACCACCAACCAGGAACCGCCTGTAAATACGCTGATAGACATAGAGATACTTCTTGCGATCAATGACAGATCCGTTGTTCCAAATCTACCAACAACATAAGTTCGACAGGGTCTCTGGGAAACGTTACTGTACTCTATGCTCTGTACAGATGGGAGCCTGTGATGTAAGGGAATACTTTGCTACATAAATCTAATAAATAATACTTGTGTTGACAAAGACAGTAGGTTGATCAACAGTGCAGGCGGTTTTGACGTGGTGATGGTGACTTGGAAGAAGGTGAACACTGTATATTCAGTTCTCAGCCAACATTTCCTCATGCACATGTCCTCTGTGCGTACCATGGACACAGGCATTGCCTATCTGCTGGTCACACTGTGCCTGACTACTGGAGTAGGTGGTTCCCTGAATTCTTGTTTGGCGAATGGGTTAATCAAAGAAGGAAAATATCTTCAACATTCAGACTTCGCTGAAGAACGACACACCTCAATATTTTCATGTGCTGTGGAATGCTATAAATATGGATTTTGCGAATCCTTCAACTTTAATACGAAAACAAAATCTTGCTCTCTAAACTTTGAAGATGATATCCTGAGACCTGAAAACTTGATTGCTGCAGAGGATTCTGTGTACAGTAGTATTGCTGGATGGCAACTGGTGGGTGCACCTTTTAATGAGTTCTCAAATGCGTTTGTTTTTTCGGTTTTGCTATCTTTGTTATCTGTTTTTAGATGCAACCTGTAAACACAAGCATTTTGTACATTTTGTAAGTCAGTGATTGTGGAAATGAGACCATTCTTCAGCATACATGCCAGTTTATTTTCCAGAGATGTACCTACACATCAACGCGTCATGCCAGAACTTGCACTGGATAAATCCTTTTCAAGTGTAATCTCCTAATGCTATGGAATCATATCCCATGTATTTAGTACATGTATATCCCTTGTACATAATCTATGCAAGTTTGCCCAACAGTATTACCCTATAGTTTTATATAGGGTTTCACTGGTTATAAAGATCCTGTAATGAAACAAACAAACTACACCGCACAGTTTTAAGGCCACGGATTCTCGTTTACGTTGTCATTGTTTTGTTCAAGGTGACGGCCTCAGGGCCTTGTATCAACCAGACCTGTGGGAAGCATGAGAAGTGTGTGGTAACACGTGTGTCCAGCACTGTCTGTGGTAAGGCGTATACACTGTTCTCATTTGTGACGTTAAAGTGAGTGAGTACCAAAACGGGAAAGCCTGTGTGTGTACATCGAATAACGGATACACAGAAGTGTTTGAATGTCATATGGGGATACGACAAGGTTGTCTTCTCAGTCCGTTTCTGTTCTCACTTTTCATTAATGAATTGGTCGACGAAATCAGGTCCAATTTTACAAATGACGTTCAGTTATTCCCTGCCTTACTCGAGCTGTTCCTTCTTGTATTTGCTGATGATGTTATGTTTTCTGATACTGTAAATGAACTCAAAAGACAAATTGATACTTTAGAAAATTACTTTAGAACATGGATTCTTTAAATAAATGTAAACAAGACAATATAAGTTGTTCACTGGTCACGAGGGAGACATAGGCTGATGTACCCTCGATGTTTGTTTATGTTCCCTGAGCCCGAAGGTAACATAAATAACATAAAGAAACATCGAGGGTACGTCATCCCATGGGCCCCGAGTGACCAGTGAACAACGTATTTATCTTAACGAACACCTCAACGGTAATTTTGAACTGTTTGAAGCATCGGATCGGATCATAGTATGGAGTACCCGACGACAAGACAACAAGAAAAACAAAAGTTTTTTCCCTTCCATCGATTTGCATTCGCAAAACATCGGTAATTTCTGTACATCATACGTGATTCAATGTTATTCCAGATAAACAATAACTACTACGGAGTACCAAATGAGTTTGGCATTCCCAGCGGGGTACATAGAAAATGTTACTCGTTTGTAAGCGGAGTACATTGAAAATAATAGACGAGCGCTCAGAAAACGACATTTATGTGTGAGGCAGGATAAACATTGTTGTATTTAAACATGGAGGCGATCTCACTAGAACGGAAAGTGGATCTACCAAAATAAAGTTTCATCATCTTGCAACTACCTGGATATGTTATTTTCTGGAAATCTCACTTGGCAGGCATCTATAAACCAGCCTACTCTTAAAGCTAAGAGGCTCTCATAACTGTTCAGCGGAGTTTGTTTAAGTTTGAAAATCTCTAATTTGAACTATATTTTAAAATCGTTGCCAATAAAACCCTGCCATTTACTTGTATAGTTCAGTGGTACCGGGCAATCAAAAGTTTGAATGCATTGAGAAAATACAGTTGCAAGCATGTAAAAGATTTCTGGGCATCCGCAGATCAACAAATACTGATACCGTACAAGATGAATGCGGAAGATATCAATCTATATCTTGGCATTAAAACGTTTTATCTCATATCAGTTGAAATTCATAACGTTTTATCTCATATTTGTTGAATCTCATCTCAATGCGTCCTCATCGCTATCCATCAACAGTCTATAAGATGTCATTGGTTTAAATACAAGCGATGCTAGAAATAAATCTTCTTAAGTTTGACATTTCATTCCAAAACAGTTGCAACTTTGAGCGATAAGTGACAAACTAACCCCCTTACATTACCCACTAGGCCCCCTCACGAATATCAAATTGTCGATCCCTTACAATCAATGAACAGTGTTATGTTGTGTTGACAAAGCAACATTTCTTCACAGATACCAGTACGTTCTATGGATCTACCTACACCACAGAGTTCATCATCTCCACCTCGAAACTCAACTGGGCAGACTCAGCAGCTGAATGCCAGCGACAACACGGGACCTTGGCCTTCATCGACACTCCCAAGAAACGACAGGACGTAGAAACCCTTATAAGAGGGAAAGGTTAGTGTACTGATTTTAGGTACATGCCAAGCGTGGTACATACGTCAGTTTTGGGGAACGATGAACATGTCGGGTAGTCAAGTCTTATGTCAAGTTATTCACATGGGTCGGTTTTAAAAGGCAGTAGCACAGTATCCCTTACGTGTCAGTTCTGAAAGGCTCATGACAATGTATTCCACACGTGTCAGTTCTGAAAGGCCAATGACAAATTCAGAAAACGTGTTAGTTATGAAATTGTACGACAAATCATGCGCAGGCCTGTCCTGACAGGGTAGTGAGAAATTATACGCACACCATGTTTTAAAGGCTAATGGCAAGATATGCACGCGTGTCAGTTTTTTTTTAATAACGGGCTGATTTCAAATTATGTTCATTTCAGTCTATATCCCCGAACATCACCTTAGTGGTACAAGAGTATAGATAGACAACGTACGGTGTGAAGTCAGTACATACCTTCATGACAACGAGTCAAGTGATTTGGACACTTTTAACCTCATTATGTATTTGAATGTGTAAAAAAACCTGGACAGATCTTTCAGAGTTTCAGGTGATAATGGCTTATCTGAGTTATTCACATTCAATTGCATTTAACAATTCTTTGGATAGAAATACGTCAATGTTGGAGAAGAGTTTCACACCAATGGTCAAACTGCACTGCACATTACGACGTCATACAATTGCTAGTGATACAACTTCTCGGTGGAGAGTTTTCGGTTACCGTGGCAGCGGGGGATACCTTTTCCAGTTGTTATCCTCCTGGGAGGGGTGACACGGAAACTTGATAAAGGGTCATTAACCCAAAAAAATTAAAGCATTTTACATGAAGGCAAGATATACATATAAATAACCCAAATCTACCGATGCCAGCAATACCTTCACCCCAGATACAGTGCCAAGCTGCTGTTTATATATGATATAAATCCTCCCTCCGTCTTGATCTCATCTCATCAAAATCCTGTCCAACAATGTGTGAAGCCCGTTTCTCGTCTCCCCCCACCGTGATATTGCTGGAAGCGGCTCAAAACCCAACTCACTCGAATTCAGAAGTTACCTTGCCTTCCCAATTGTTCGTTTAGCTTCCTTATTATTGGTGTAGTTTCCTGATTGTCACTGTATTTTCCTGCTTGTCCTTGTTCATTCTTCATTATGACCTTCTGTTGTAGAGGGGGTGGGGGTGGGGGGTGGTGTGTGTGTGTGATGAGCGGATTTTGGTTGGCCATTTTGGTCTTTTTAATCACAAATAGGTGTGACCTTTGTGTGACCTAATCGAATGTTGAACCCCACCCTCCCCTTTCCGGTCCAGGTGTGTGTGTGTGTGACCTTTAGGTTCATCTTATTGGTATTATTTTATGAGTTTGCCGACTCGATCGTTCACACAGCAAACCTTAGACTCATGCTTAGTCTCTGAATATATATATAATTTTGATAGTAACAAACAAGCCCGTTTAAATTGAAAAGGAGCCCTAAGGACACCAGAGATTCAGAACCTGCGAAAATCTAGACTTGCTTTATTTAGGGCTTTTGCACCGCAGAGAGGGCATGGCAGTTGGGGAAATAATGTGGTTCAGGGACTGTGAGACAGACTAAGCAAACGTGTTCAACGTAGAATTAATATCACACAATGAGGGGGAATTTAGCTGCTATTTATTAGGTCAAAATATCAGAGCGCATTTTGCTAAATCACTAACCAGTTTAATATACGCTGTCACACAAGGAACAAGTCTTAATGTTTCGATATCTGTCAACAATAAACGGTTGTAGCTGTTAAAATTCATGAGAGCCCGTATATGCGTGAATAGGGGCGCTGTCTATGCACTGCTGTCAGTACTACTACTAACAGCAGAATCGCTTGCTCGCTGAGCCGTAACTGAAGAGACATGTGACAGCTGTGATTGGATGAAATAGTGTAAGGTGTTATGTTTGTTAAAAGTACCCCCATCCAGTCATTAAAACTGACCACCATTTTTAAGTATTTAATGCTGTCATTTGTATCACTTATGCTTATGCGAGTACAGATATGTTCAAATAGGTGCCAGTTGGTGCGGATCTGGGGTGGTTGATGTGTTTAGCTTCCTGTGTGTGGCTTCCTGTGCTCGCAAAGTTAGCCGGTTCAAGTTGACCAGAAATTGTTTTATTGTAATTTAAAGGTCAGACTGTAAGCATGTGTACATGGTTGGTGATAATTTTCGGCGTGGTGTAGTGTCACAAATGGTCAGCTTCCGTTGTTTAAAGGTCAGACTGTAATCATGAGTACATGGCATGGATAATGTTCAATGTGATGTTGAATGTATGCTGACAAGTGGTCAGCTTCCGTTATTTAGGGAGACAAGTGTCTGACCGGAATTGAAGACAGGAAATAGTAAGCAGTTGAGGACTGATGGTCACTGAATATCTCAAGTAGTTTGATTGTACAGTGATGAAATGATTTAGCATTTGTCATATATATGACTGAATAAGAAAACAAACCTTTTCTCCTGTAAAACTTTCCAATACTGTTACGTCAAATTTTCAAACTTTACTCTCAAATTACAAACATGTAAAAAACCCATCTTATGTCAATGTTTATGACACTTATTTGACATCATGTGACACATAGGTTACTCACATGCCGTTAGCCGCTCTTATTCCACAGACAGTACAATGAAATACTGGTGTAAGCTTTTTGTGACTGTAGTGTGTGGGGTATGAAGAGATTAGGACCTCCTGGTGTTAAGAATTGTAATGTAGCTTAAATGTATTCAGTGACATAGGGAGGATTATTTAGCAGTTGTAAAACGAACATTTGTACAAAGAACAGTTGTACAATCCTCCAGCAATGCATTAAGTGAGTGAGTGAGTTTAGTTTTATCTTGCATTCGATATCCCAGCTATATGGTCTGTAAATAATCGAGTCTGGACCAGACAATCCAGAGATCAACAGCTTGAGCATCGATCTACCCAATTGGGATATGATGATGTGATTTGTCAATCATGCCAGCGATCCTCACCACCCGATCCCGTTAGTCGCCTCTTACGACAAGCATGGGTTACTGAAGGTTCATTCTAACCCGCACTTTCAGGGGTACAATTCATTAAGAAACAAGAAAGATATACAGATTTCATTGTTTATTAGCTCCGTTTCAAATGAGTAGGCTTTAGGATAGGAGATCTCCCAAATGTCTACTTTACATTGTGCTTTGCATTTTACTTTGTGCTAATTGTATTATTGCCCTTCCTCATCATCCTGTCCAGATACTTCGCTCTCAGATGTAATGTCTTCATAATCATCATCAATTAA